GTGTGTGTGTGTGTCTGTGAGTGTGAGTGTGTGTGTGTGTGTGTCTGTGAGTGTGTGTGTCTGTGTGTGTGTGTGTGTGTGTGTGTGTATTCATGGGTCAAAGCGCCACATCCGGTGTAATGTCTCAGGCCTTTGAGGTCACCCTGAGATTGAACGGTTAGTTTTAAACAGCATCAGATCGGATGTTCAGCGTGTGATGGCACTGTGAGGTCGCTGAGGAAGCGGATGTGATTCCTGTCATTAGACAGCTGCGGTGTGTAATGACCCGAGGCTGATCCAGCTCTATAGTCCTGTAAACAGAATGAATGGTGACAGAGCTCCTCCATCCATCATGGTTCAGGCTGATTTACTGTAAAGCACGGCGCGTCTGTAGAGGAGCGTGTGGTTGTGAATGCACCGCTGCTTCCTCTTTCCTCTCAAAAGCACCTTTGTGTGTGTCGATGTTTCACCTGTAGAGCTGATAAAACACTCCAGCGTGAGCAAACATGGACCAACACTACCTGCACCGTCTGTGCCATTTTAGAGAATAAACATTACTGTGTTTCATGCTTCAGCATGGCTGTGTTTCGCAGTCGAACGTCTGCAGTATGCAGATGAGTGCATGTGGCCTGTCTTCCTCTCCAGAGCCGCAGACATGCGCATGTGTCTCTCTGACTGACCAATGTGCTGCAACACAGAAGCGCAAAATACAAGATTTCAAGTCTCTTCTGTCATCATTTACTACCTCAAAAACCCACTGACTTTCTTCTGTCGAGCACAAAAGAAGACGTTTAGCAGAATGTTCACGCTGCTCTTTTACATACAGGCAAAGTAAACCCATATGGCAAAAATATTTTTTTTTTCTGGCCAAAATATACATTGTAAACCGTGAAGTTAAATGAAATATGTGTCCCTGGAGCACAAAAGCAGTCTTAAGTCGCTGGGGTATATTTGTAGCAATAGCCAACAATACATTGTATGGATCAAATTATAGATTTTTCTTTTATGCCAAAATCATTAGGATATTAAGTAAAGATCATGTTCCATGAAGATATTTTGTAAATTTCCTACCGTAAATATATAAAAACTTAATTTTTGATTAGTAATATACATTGCTAAGAACTTAATTTGGACAACTTTAAAGTATGCATTGCTAAGAACTTCATCTGAACATCTTTAAAGATGATTTTCTCAATATTTAGATTTTTTTGCACCCTCAGATTCCAGATTTTCAAATAGTTGTATCTCAGCCAAATATTGTCCTATCCTAACAAACCATACATCAATGGAAAGATTATTTATTCAGCTTTCAGATGATGCATAAATCTCAATTTCCAAAAATTGACCCTTATGACTGGTTTTGTGCTCCAGGGTCACATATTTTTATGAAATTGAAAATATTTAGTTTCAACCTTCATATACCAAAATATATTTTAATTTATATTTCAGGGAATAGCCTACAGGAGATCAAAAATAGATTTATTATGATTCATTAGAGTTTAATATTTTTTAAATACAATTTTATAAAGTTCACACATATTATAGACAACAAATACAGCTTTTTATTAAATGAGAAATGTGAATGTAGTTTCCTGGATTGAAAATGTATGCAGGCAAAATTAATTTTTAAATGCTATTTAAAAAAAACTTATTTATATTTTTAAGATATATATGCACAAAAAAATGGCCAAAAAATACATTGGTAGAAAATATATTTATATAAATATATTTAAAAATATATTTTAGCAAGTATATTTTTTTGTATATTTTGAAATACATTTAAAATCTATTTGATTTGTATTTTTTGGCGTATGGAAATGGATGCTGTTGAGGTCCTAGACGGATAAAAACACCTTAATAAAGTCTCATACCAATGTTATACGATAGTTTTCAAAACATTCACACACTTCAGGCATGTAAAAACCAATGATGTTTGAGATTACTAAGGGTGAACCTAGTAAAACATTTCTGGAGGGGAAACATTTGAATAGTTGACTGACAAATGAAATGAATGCAGTGATGACAGAATGATTTCTTAAAATACAGTGCACTAGTCATGTGAACTACTGCTCTGATGATTCTGTGGCACTTTATGGAGCTCAACAACAGCTCATTCACTTTCATTGTATGTCAAGCAGCATGTTCAAGTACACCAGATTCAATTCAGCCTTTTTTTCCTGACCTAAAGAACATGTTTGACACCAGCGGCGTTCACATGACTGCAGAGAACCGGTTGAGCTCGTTCTAAAGCAAAAAACTCCACGTTCATCTGCTATTTTTCCGTCTGAACAGACACGCATGTGTTAAAGAGGCAGACGGGGTGTGAGATGTGGGATGAGTGTTTCTGTGAGGTCAGGAGGGGGCGGGACTGTGGAAGAGCTCCGCCCCCATACAGGCTTCTGACCCGCCCACACTGGGACACACACACACACACACACACACACACACACTATATAAATACACACACTCTAAAGGTCAGTTGTTGAGACACACACACACACAGCTATAAAGTACATAAACACACATGTTGGTACTCTCATCATTATGAAGACTTTTAATTCTCATAATGGTTTTAATCCTGAGCTAATGATATTTTCTAATGATCTTTGCTTCTGAAGGATCAGTCACCCTACAAATCAAAGATAAGGCTCTTTCCTGCTATTCACACACTCACACACACACACACACACACACAGACATATACACTCACTCACTCACACACACACACACTCACTCACACACACACTCACACTCACACACACACACACACACACAGACATATACAC